TCAATCCGGCAAATCACATTTTCCCCCTATCACAGTAACAAGGGAACAATATACTGCTGCCAAGAAATACTTCAATTCGAGAGGGCTTCGCAAACTAATTCAAGTCGACTAAAATGTGTTGCATCAGATTTCCAATATTAAATTCTCAATTTGGCAATTGTGCTGAACACCCCAAATTCTAGAAAGGACATTCAATTGAAGAAAAAACAAAATGCAGTGTATCCATCTCGAATTCCTTATATGCAGAGAGACCACACTGATTTTATGAATGCAAACTAATCAGACCAAACTAATCAGACCGCACTCCGACCATCACCATTACACTATTAAACCGAAAAATCGAAATCGCCAAAAAATCGAAATCGCCAAAAGCAGGAAATGACCAGCAACAAACATGAAAGGAATGGATAGGTTACCAGGGCTGGGGAGGACGGCGACACCAGGGCTGAGGAGGACGGAGACACCACCGGCTGATCGCTTTCTGTTTCGCCTCTTCGCGGACTGATTTCAGCAATGACCGACCGCGACTGGGGAGAGGAGGGCTGGGGAGAACGGCGACAAATGCGTTGACCGATGGCTGGAATCGAATGGCAGCCGAACTCGCGATTTTGGCGGTGTTGTGTGGGGGAGATTTGGGGAGAAATGGGAATGGGGAAAGAGAAGGAGATGGGGTTCTAACCTTTTACATTGGGCCGGGTATTTACTTCATTTGGTGGGTGGGTCATTGCCATGTCAGCAATTTCAAATTGCTGTGAGTCTAACTGTGAAGGAAGACTGTAAGACCAGCATTTCTCTTTTTAAAATGCACTAAATACAACATGTCCTATGATGTACGACGTGACCTCTAACGAGAGGTTTCGAACGTTATGATGAAGCCAAGTGCTTTTTCATCGAACGGTCACCAGGTCAACCAAGCCACTATAAAATCTCACCACTTACACACAACCTAAGGATAATGCATTTTTTACTGAAAACATTGTAAGATTACATTCAAACTTTTGTGGCTTACTCCTTAAAGCTCGTCCCACACTCGATATATTTTTCTTCCAATCAACTGACTTGATTATCGAAGTGCTCGAAATTACCTTTTCCATCACTGGAGAGGGCCACATGTGACTAACTGTTTGTCCAAGTGTATAAAAAGGAGCTTATGTGGAAGCAAGTGGACTCTAGATCTGTGGGTCACATGGAGACACATTTTTCGAGGTCAAAATTATCTTGAGAGTTTGCTCAATTTCCTTATCAAATTCTAATGATCCATTAAGCCCCTGTTTGATTTCATTTACTTCACTTTAATTTATTTTTCATACTCATTTTCAATTACATTTTCACACAATAAAATTTTCTACATGTAAACTCAAAATTTTCTCTTAATTTTTAATCAAACATTCTCTAAAAAATACTGTTCAAAACTATATTTTTTAAATTCTAAGCCCATCAAAAGTTAACTAGTTTCGATTCTTGTTATTTCATCATTTCAAGCTTTCACAAAAATGTCAAATTGTGCATCCATGTCACTATCTTGCAATTTGTTAATGGATACTCCTAGTGGAGGATCTAGTCGACATGAGTATCCATATTTGGTACACAATAATACGTTTATTTAACAAGTACTTCACTAAATTGAGCTTTTAACACGGATAGCCAAGCTTAACAGTGTGTACACACAGTTTGCATATGCAAAAAGCAAAACAAATGGCTTGTACTGTAAGATTAACCATACATCTATAGACCATTGAATTGAAAAAAGAAAAGAAGCTTAACTTTTATTCATCAATATATTCAATACTCAGTACTAAACGTCTATGATGTGAATATCATAGTCATTACTTTGCGGCAAATTTTTAAACTCAAAGTTTACAATAATGATCGAGAATCATTTTCTAACCTGCTTTTAGTCAATGAAGCATAAGGCGAGCTCAATTGCAACAACAAGAAGCACTAAACAAGCTAAATTTGATTTGATCTTCGGATTAGGGCTACATGGCACAATCATTTGTAAATTTGAAAGTCAAATTTCAATTACTTGCAATTCATAAGTTATATGGTAATGTCAAGATCATAATCCCTTGCTGATCTCTGCAAATCTCAGTCTTTACCAACTAAAGCCTAAAATACAAGCAAAAACTTCTCAATTGGAGAAAAATTAAGGCAAATTTCTTCATAANAATTTTGCGTGTCAAATATAGCGAGTTTATACACTAGGGTGTGTTTGAGTTACATTATTTTGGAAGAATGTATTTTGGAATAGTAGATTGATGGAGAATGTGTGGTTGAAAAAAAAAAGGAAAAATTATTGATGTGATGGAAAATATTATTTTATTGAAGAATGTGGGGTTGAAAATGAGTTTTAAAAGAATGTGAATGAAAATTTTAATGTGTGTCAAACAGGGACTATATAAGACGTTTTTAGAGGCGGCTATCCCGAGCTAGACATTCATTGGTGAGTAATTAAAAATTCAGAAACAAAAATTTAATATAATTGGTAAGTAAATGTAGATTACCTCTCTCTTTCTTGCAATAAGTTATGTTACATCTGAAAATAGCGCGTTGATTTCATTTTCCACTTCTTTTTGTAATCCTTTTTATTACAACATTGGCAAAAAATCTTGTATATAGTCTCAAGAATTACAAGGAACATTTTACTTGTGAAGCATGGGAAGCAGATTAATCCAAATGAGGTGAACTGAACTGTACTCAGCTCGACTAACCATTTTAGTCTGATATATAAGGAATGATTAAATCAAAGTCGGGTGTTGAATTGTGAATAGACAATTTGGGTTTAGTACGGATCCATTGATTGTTGGACGTGAGGATTGGATCGAAATGTTTAATATTTTATATGTTTGTAAAGTTTTTATTGATGGACAAATAGTTGTTATGCTCTCCAAAATGTCAAAGTCAATCCATTTTCTAGTCATAACTACATTTCGATAAGGTTTCGTTATCTTGTTTCTGATGGATCCATTGATTGTTGGACGTGAGGATCAGATCGAAATTTTTAATATTTTATATGTATGTAAAGTTTTTATTGATGGATAAATAGTTGTTATGCTCTCCAAAATATCAAAGTCAATCCATTTTCAAGTCATAACTCCATTCCAATAAGGTTTCATTATCTTGGTTGGTTCTCTACGAAATTAATAGTATTTTCAAAAGTTGGTTTTGATTCTTTCAACCATGGCTATGCCAAAGTATGAAAGAAATCCAATTAAATATTTATCATTTTATCAAGTCAATAATTTCATTACAACCTAGTAAAAAGGTTAACCAAAATCATTAATTATCGTATATCATACTAATTGAATTATTAGTGTTACAAATTGCTCTACAAAGGGAAAAAATTTTTACACATCATTGACGTTTTTAATAGATCTAGCTGACTAAATCCTATGATTTTATGTAATTGTAGTTCATAAGATCCATTCGTTTAGCAGCATTTTCGGTGCTTCTATTTAGAACAAGATTCTGGAACACTTAGGAGTTGTTATCTTTGTGTTTCAGTTTTGTGTTTTGAATTTTGAATTCATTTTGAACTTTGTGTTTTGAGTATCAATTTTGAAATTGTTGAAAATATGTTCTTTTTGACATTTTGAAAAATTATTTTGAAAACATTAAAAATGCGTTTTGAAAATTTTGACTTGATTATAACTAAAAACACCGTCATTTTGGGTTTTCTTTGTAAATTTTTAACTTATTTTCAAAAATAAGTTTTCGAAAATAGGAAAGAGAACGCGTTTTCACTATTTTGAAAAATCAAAAAAAGAAAATTGCTTGAAATTATAAAGAGAACGTGCCCTTAGCTATTTCATCCAATTCACGCTGACGAGTCAAACACATTCTGTCAAAAATCATTTTGGGTGCGTTTGATTGCATTTATTTTTCACCCAAATTCATATTTTAAAGTGTTTGATTGCTATTTTTTTCAATTAAAATATTTTTCAACTTCTGAAAATATGCCAAATTTTCTTTGTTTTTAAAGAAACCATTTTATTTGGTGGAGTAGGCTTTTGTTTTGCTCAAAACAACGAATTTTTTTTCTAAGAATATATTTTCCATGTCAATGACACTCTTAGGGTGTGTTTGATAGGGAGCCAATTCCATGGAAAATGGAATTTGTTTATCATTTTGCCACTTAATCTTTGTATGATAGGATTTATTTAGGCAAATATTTTTCTCACTATTCCTCACATACTTACAATTTCTTGTTTTTCCTTGAAATCATTTTCCTATGGAATTTGTTTTCCATTTTCCCACTTTTTCTTTCTTTGATAAATAATTTTTTCTTTTCTAGCTTTTCTTGAAATCATTTTCCCGCTACTTTCGTGGGAAAATGGTTTTCCAAGTTTTTTCTTGCAATTGAAAAAAATTCTAAATACAACGGAAAAAAAAAATATCACTTTTATTGACAATTTTCATGCAAAACAAAGCTAAACAAATGATATTCGGCATAGTAAAAAAACATTTAAAATTTTTTGATAATTGGAACAAATTATAGACCTAATTGTAGAAAAAATTATCATTTTAATGGATAATTTTCATAAAAAATAAAGTCAAATGAACACCAAACTTTCAACATTTTCCAGGTGGAAAATTATACAAATCAAACACAATTAATTACAATTCTCAGTAAAACAATTTTTAGGCAATTCAATTTCCTGAAATTCATTTTCTTTTTATCAATTTTCCATATTTTCAACCAAACGGACCCTTACTGATTTACATGTTAAAGTCGATTAATCACTTATAACTGTTTTCTTTCCTCATTTCCACAAATTAAACTTGTCCCATGTGATCATTTTCCTTCTCTACAACACCTCCCATCTCATATATAGCTACCAACTATTGTCATCTTCAATCAAGAACTTAGCACACATCAAGAATTTCAGACGACGAACTCATTTTCTGTTACATCTAGAGAAAATTTAATTTTTTTTTCTCATTCAATCTTGTTCGATTTTAAGCAAGATTTTGGCGTAAACAATATCCTGAAGATCAATATGGATCCGGGGGCATCAAATATCGAATCTGAAGGCAGTGTACATCTGCAGATTTCTGAGCTTAATGCTAGCCTAAGTGAAACAGGCAGTGTTGGTCCAGCCATATTTGAGCCCCAAACTTGCACGTCTGATTCTGTGTCTCGAACGAGGCCTGCAATTCGGGCACCAGAAAAGAAACTCACCCTTTTCGCGCTTCGTCTTGCAGTGCTGGAGAAAGTAGCCTCAAAAATTGGAACTCTCGGATTCGTATGGGCTACTGTTGTTCTACTTGGTGGTTTTGCCATTACGTTAGATAAAACAGACTTTTGGTTCATAACCGTTATTCTTTTAATTGAGGGAACTCGAATATTTAGCAGGAGTCATGAGCTCGAATGGCAACATCAGGCCACATGGTCTATTACTGATGCTGGGATCGATAGTTTTCGTGCTATAAAATCGAGTTCCAGTTTGATACTTAGAACCGTGAAGATGATTTGTAAGCCGGTTTTTAACTCCAGAAAAACGAGCCAACGGAACAGGGAGATTTCAGGGACGACTCGACAAACTAGTAGGCGAAATTGGGGTCAAAAAAAGATGCCAAATCGAACATGGACAAATTCAGAGGTCCCTCTTCTTCCTTATGCAAAATGGGTATTTCTTTCAAGAAATGTTAGTAAGGTTTTATATTGGCTTCAACTTGCATCAGCAACAGCCTGCGTGGTGCTCTCTACCATCAAGCTCGTCCATCAAAACTATGGAGAAGTCCAAAAAGGAGATACAGATAAGAAGAACAGGGAAGCAGCTCTAATATTTTTCTATTCCTTGGCCTTGGCAGAGGCATTGCTGTTTCTCATGGAGAAAGCCTATTGGGAGTGGAAAGTCAGCGTTCGGAGACTATTGGACGAGGTGAACAAGGAGTGCAATTTGGGAGAATCGGGCATCATCTCGATCAAAAGATTCTTCTATGATGCCTATTCAAAATGTGTCAACGGAAGCATTTTTGATGGTCTGAAAATGGACATGGTTTCATTTGCAATGGAATTGCTAGAGTCTAGTTCCTCTGATGAGCAGCTTATTGGAGCCAGAATCTTGAGAAAATTTTCTACAAGCGAGTTGTTTTCGGAGGATACTCTCCAAAAGATTGGAATAACCTTATCAGTCATGGATAGATTAGTCGATATGTTGAATTGGAAAGACCCTCAAGAAGAAGAGATCAGGTATTCAGCTGCAGAAATCTTGTCAAAATTGGCTGAAAAACAGCAAAACTCTGTACGGATTGCAGGAATACCGGGTTCTATGGAATCAATATCATGTCTTCTGCACATCAGCCGGATCCATTGTGGAGCAACGGATGAAATTTCCGAGAAGAGAATAATCTTCGACAATGAGAACTATGGTTCTTGGGCATTCAATCATTTAGGGCTTCTCATTTTGAAGAAACTCGCTCGTGACCATGATATATGTGGAAAAATTGGGAACACAAGGGGTCTCCTACAGAAGATTATTGACTTCATGCATGCTGAAGAGAGGGTGTTGACAGATTCAACAGCTGCACCCTCTCAAATTTTAACTGTGAAACGATCTCTGCAGGTTCTTAAGATGCTAGCTGGAACATCAGGTGCTGCAGGAAGACAACTAAGAAAAGCGATTTCTGAGATTGTTTTCACAATTAGCTATATCCGGGATATACTAAGGTATGGAAAAAAGCATCCTGAGCTGCAAATATTGGCGATCGAAGTCTTGACTAGCCTCGCGATAGAAAAAGATGCAACAGAGAGGATTGGGAGTACAGGTGGAGTTCTTAAAGAATTGTTCAGCATTTTCTTCAATGAGGAGATCCCTGAAAATTGGAGTCATGTAAGAGTTGCAGCTGGGGAAGCACTGTCTATGCTAGTACTCGAAAGTAAGAATGATTGTCATTGTATGCTAAATTTGAGGAAGAATCGGAAGCTTGTAAAAGCTTTGGAATCTCCACTGCTTCGAATAAATGCAGCTAGAGTTTTAAGAAACTTGTGCGCATATAGTGGAGAAGATTGCTTCGAACAATTAAAGGGACTCGTTGATGCAGGACCTGCAGTAAGTTTTCATATCAACACCGTCTTATAATGTTTTAACATGTAAATCCTCAGAGACCTTGGAACAAAAGGAGTAATATTTCTAACTTTTCCCACTTTCAGGTCCTTGAAGCTATCAAGAACGAAGAAAACAAATTGCTCGAAGTAATGGTTGGAGTTGCAGCATGCATTTTTAAATTTATGTCATCTCAAGAAGCCAGTAGCATGTTTAAGAAAGCTCGATTTCCAGAATCCGATCTGGCCTGCAAACTTGTCCAAATTCTGAAGAATTATCGGTATCCCTCAATAAAAGTCCCAAACATAAGAAGATTTGCTATAGAGTTAGCAGTCTGGATGATGAAAGATAATGAGGCGAATATCCTAACTTTCGCGAGACTGGGAATAGAACGTGAGCTGGAGTCCCTATTGGACACCACTTCCGAGCTGGAGAATTTCATTATCTTTTCTGGGACTGTTGGCCTATGCCGGCACAGCACAACAATTCAAACACTAGTTGAAATGGCCATGAAGCTGCTGTCACAGAAGTAAAATATATACTATGTCGCACAGACACTTAAATTAGGGTGGCGTGTCCGTGTCCGTGTCCGATACCAACACTCCTCGGATATTCTACGTTGATCATTTTTCTTTCTTTATAATAAATATTATATATTTGTAATTCAAAGTTATTATTAAATAACAAAGAGGTACTTGTATTCAAAAGATTTCAAAGGGAAAATTAATAACAACTATAAATTTATATTATATAAATGAAGAATTTTAAAGAATTCAATCAAAGTGTAAGCGACGTGTCGTATCAATACTTTTTTGAAAAATCGCGGTCGACGTCTTCGACGCGTATTGCGATTATACATGCATGTGTCGATGCATCATAGAATATAGAAATACCAATTTGATCAAGAATTCATGGCCAGTGCAGTGTCCTTCGAGACACAGAAGAGTAAGAATTGAAGGTATTATTCATTTTTCTCAAAGATGGAAGCTTAAAAACCACAGGGCGTTCTTTTCTTTCCCCCTTCATTAAAAGCTATGTATCAAATTATCTGCACAATCAATGGCAAGTACAGAATTTCAGTTTTTCTTATCATTGAATTGTTAAAATATTGTTTTTATTGTATTTGCTCCAGTTATGCATACGCGTTCATGAGTCCTGGTTCCTTCTGGGGATCGGGTGATTCGTCCTTCCTGGAAGCAGCATATTAATTTCTGTTGTATTGTACTAAGTGCTAAGTTTTATTACTATTAAATTTGGAACCGACTGCGTGAATTGCTCAACTGACAAAAAAGTAAAAGAATTCGAGTTTTTCTAGTCTTCCTAGTGTAGACACGATATCAATGGCTTGTCCTTCCTAGTGGAAATCATTAATAGAATTTTCACGACTAAATCTATGCATCAACTAGACATAGCCAAAATGACTGTCCTATATATAGTAACAAGAAATGACATGCCCTTCTATCACCTATCAATATCATCTTCCTAGTCGAATGAGAATAACCCAACTAACGTCATATTTTAGTCTTTTATCGAACTCCTAACTGTAAAAATGGGGATTAAGACTACCCTATTCACAAAAGATTTACCTTTTAAATAGATAACCTCCACTTGAATGTAAAAATGATTGTCATCGTATTGTGGAATTGAGGATCAATGAAAAGCTAATTGAAGCTTTGAAATCTCCATTCCTTCATATAAACGCAGCTAGAATTTTATGAAATTTAGGTGCCTATAGTGGAAAACATTGCTTCAAATAATTAAAGGACTCCCAGATGCAGGACCTGCAGCAAGTTTTTGCATCAACAGCGGCTTTAACACAACCTTAGAACAAAAAAGAGAGTATTTCTAACTTTTTCTCGTTGCCAAGTCCTTGAAGTTATCATGAATGAAGAAAAAATATTGCTTGAAGCAATGTAGGATTTGCAGCATGTATTTTCAAGTTCATGACATCTCAAGAAGACAGCAACGTGATTAAGAGAGCTCAATATCCAGGGTTCTTATGAAATATCAGTATTTCTCAATTGAAGTTCCAAACATAAGAAGGTATACAATAGGTAGGCAATTTAGGAGATCACCTTGAGTAACCTGAATATTTCACCATGAAATCACAATCTGGATGAAAAAAAATTGACTCTGTTTACAGATATAGGAAGAATTAGAATAGTTTGCTGTGATTTCAAGAATGCGCCTGGAAAATATGATCTTTGGCCTCAATCAATGTTGATACGAGTAGGGAGTTCGACTTGTTTGCCCCCTCTGCAACGACTCTAATTGTATCCTACGTAAACACTTTGTGCACCCTCCCCTGACAAGCAAGTTTTAGGGGTGAGTTATGCCCAATGTATTTGTTACAATATGTATCATAGCAGATACCCCTTCTTTAAGAGACCCTCTTTGCGGATGGGGCTATCTGGGGAGGCTACTTTCACTAGAACACTAATTCAACCACGTAGACAAGAATAAGGAATACTGTTCCAGGCTTACCCGTTCCAAGAATCCCAATACTTGGTGTTTTAAGCGCTGGATCTTTATGCCAGAAGAGACAAAAAGACTTGAAGATCTTTCATAATCTCACTCAATATACATATTTTGTTAAGATTTCCGTTTATGTATCTAGTGAGGTGTTTGAGATTGTGTAGATGTTACTCTTTTACATCGTCAGACCAAAAAGTAATCTCTTTCCATCATTTAAAATTTGATTAATCAGTTTAACATATATATATACCTGTTCATTAGTTCTTGAAAAGGCTATTACATGATTATACTTTCACCTGATTATGAGCCACAGAACGAAGTTTTTATCACTGGTAAAATCAAGGGCTAAAGAACAAATAGTGAACTTTCATCAGACAAGCATCCAAGTTTGAATTTGCATATACAAATGAATCACATGTTCTAAACCATGATGACTCTGAAATATTTTTTCCTGTGTAAAGTAAACGAGAAAATTATGGCACGATTGACAACTAAATCTATTCATCAACTGTACATAACCAGGAAGAATCTCCCGTACACAATTACAACAAATGACAATAATCCTTCTGGTAGAAGGCCCTTCTATCACAACAGGTGGAAGTAAACGTATAATCTTCCTAGTCGAATGAGAATAACCCAATTAGCACTCTTATCGAACTCCTAACAGCAGCAGGCATAAAATAGGGATTAAGAATACCCTCTTCACAACAGATATACTTTTAATTATACTGACTTGCCGTCGTCTTCCATGATACTCAACAATTATCTATTCTTAAAGAAGTTGAGATCCCAACGACGAAACAAACCGTCAATAATATTAGTTGTAGGGGTTTTCACAACATTTACAGTGACCCTAGTGTGGTCAGCCATGTCTGTATCAGATGAACTTTGGTTACCAGGTTGAGTATAGCCACAAGAAGCAGCCTCATTCCTCTCTGGTTCGTTGGGACACACAGTAGCATCATCAATGTTACAGTTATTTACTGCTACTACAGAGGCCTTTGGATAATTCGCGTTGTCATCCGTTGTACTAAGTTCACACGTTGAAATGTCGCTACAAGGTGTGCTAATTCCTGCTTCTGAAAGAAGTGTCAATTCAGAATCAGTGGCTGCTGAAGTGGACACAGTTTTTAAGGATGCAGCCGGTGTAGAAAAAGAATATTGTCGTTCATGTGTTGATTCAGGGAAGTTACTGCCAACATGAGAAGATGGTTCCTCAACATGAGAGTGTCCTGTCTCCTGGTCTTTCAGCGACTCCATTACAGCTTTCATAAACATCTGAAAAATTCAGCAAATTTTAAGGTCAGGAAAATAGTCCTTCGTTTAAATTCGAAAACACGTGAATTTCCAAGGTATTTATCCCAAGAAAATAATATATATACTCACCCTCTCTTCTTCCTCGACATTGCTCGGGAAGTCAGCCAAGTTATCAAGAGGGTATTCCACATATTCATCATCATCTAGTGATGCAGGCAGAGTACCATGTGGACTACCACCCGATAATTCAAAGCTGATCATATTAGAAGATGACGCAAAAGAATCAGATCCGGTATCTTCTTCCTGCAGAGCACAGACTATCTTAGAAAGACTTAAACAAACAAACATTCTTTGCTCTTAAAAAAAAAAACACAGGCAAAGGTTGAAGTAGAGGGATGTACTTCATGCTGCAGCAACCTAGTTATTTAAGGACTAAAATACACTTCTCTTCCAAATTATTTTAATTTATTTAATATCCATTGTCTGAGGAATATCTTTACTAGCCTCTTCCCATTCTCAGCTTGAATTTAGACAGCTAAAACAATAAGAACCGGATAGTTAGATTATGAGCTTATAAATGCAGTTTCTCTCAACTACTAAACTATGAATTGTCAAGAGTCTACAGCATTATCTTTTTAGGAGGAACTTCAGGGTTTTACACAAATTGTGCCCAATTTTAGGGTAATTGATACAAAGATTATTTTAAAAAATTATCCCATCAAACTTGCATATTTAAAAGGTGGAAATATATGGAACGGAAGTTGATATAAAAAATGATCAGGAACTTTTGGCTAAACTTTTAGAAGCTACCTGCCCATCCGATTGTTTATCTTTGGATGATATCTCTGCAGGGACCTGTATATTACCAACAAAACAACAATCAATCATCAAAATCCGACGTGAAACCGCCCTGATTTTATTGATGGCTAAATAACCAGTCATTTAGTGATGATGTCCTTGAAATGAAAGGAAAATAGAATCAAGGGTCTTCTACAAAAGATTATCTGGATACACAGTGACCAGAGTGTGTTGCATACCACAAGAGTGGACTGGCTAAACGTACAATATTAAACACTTATATTCCAATACAAAGTGCTCCTGGTATCAGGAAATAAACAATAATTTGATCATCACAGAAAATAATCGTATATTTTACCACTATTTTACTCATAGGTCTTCTGGAGCGAACTTGGTTAATAGCATCTTCAGTCGTACTACCAGCTTGATCTGCATATAATTAAAAACTTTAGCTAGTGACTTCCTCAAGAAATTATACAATAGAAAACATCTCTCAGTACAAGCAAAACAAAGTAAGAAATAGATACCAGAAGGGGAAGCCGAGATATCATCCAAATATTTTGTATCGTGGACAGTAGTCCAAGTACCCTGGATGTGGTCAATCAATAATAAATTTTGTATGGTAGTCAGAGATCTGGCTATTACTTTAGGAGTCAAAAGCCATAATGTCATTATAATAAGTTACCTTGCCATAATAATCATGAGACAAGTCAAAAAATGCAGTCCCTCCTCCATCCTCTGGAGGTTGTAATACATTGTTGAAAAAGATACTTATAGAATCAAAATAAAATTGAGGGCGTGGAGAGTTGTGATCACCCTCGAACTTTATAATATTCTTGTCCCCCTGCAAAATTAGGTGTCTATAAATACAAGGACAATAATGCATTCAACAGAAAGAACACAGATACTGATGCATCATTGCAAATAGATATTTCATATACCTGTGTAGTCTACGTTTCATATACCTTTCAAAAGGTAAGCAAAGAACCATCTCATATTAGAAAGCAATTTTGGATTCAAACTGAAAATGATATCCATATTTGAAGAAGGGAAAAATTATTGATAAATCTGTTTTTCTGAGTGATTTCCAAATTTTAAGGGAAAAATGAGAAGGAAAAAAAAAAAGAATGTTGCACGACTCTAATTCCAATAAGATCATCTAACTTGGAAAGAATCAATTTGATCCTGGACCAGACTAAACTCCCTGAGTGGAGGACTAGTACACGACGCTAAATTTAATAACAATAAGCGGTAAAGCACAAAATGCACGCAACAAATGAAAATGCCCAAACATTTCTGCAAGGATGGTATAAATTGCAGAGAACCACATCACAGGAAAAAAATAACATCCATAAAATATAATTCAGGCAGGGCGAAAGATCCACTACTGTGAAATAGGATTACCACATAAGCATCAAATATGCGATCAGAATGATGGGGCTGTATGAAATCATCGTCAACGGCATGACCAAACAAAACTGGAACAAAGGAACATTTTGCAACCTAGACAAAAAAAAAAGGTGATGTAATCACAGTTATGAATAGAAACTACACCATATATTGTGCAGTGTGGATGAATAAAGTTTCACTTCTAGCTGTTTAAATAATAAATACATATTTCTTTGATCGATGAATCATACTTTTATCCTCGAAACTAATTTGCCTCATCACTTTCATCCTTCTTTAGTAAGTCAAATCGTCCTCAGTAACAAGAAACTGGGAATATAATTTTAGCTGTTTATATTTGTGCATGCAGTTATGCAGATGCAAAACTAAAGTAGTTTAGAATCATACCAAATGTTATTCTAATAAATTACTCTCGAGGAAAAATTTGGCCAAATCATAAAGGACTTATCAGGTACCCAATCTCATCAGTTGGACAGGTAAGATGACTATGTTTTAATTTCCAAAAAATAGAGAATACAAATAAAAAGAAAATGAGCATATCATGAACCAATATGAAAATGCTCTCACAAACAATCCTGTCCCATTAGAATGCAGCAGCAAGACGAGATTTAGTACAGCAACTCAAAAAATCTAAGCTGGAGGAGGAGGTACAGACTTAGGTTGAGATAACTTCCACCGTTGTCACCTTGATAATTATTTAAGTCTGATGAAGCATTACATCATTACGCATGAGTAATTGGAAAAGACAGCACCTCGAAGGAGGTATAGAATCAATTTTAAAGAAAATTCCTGCACCTTTTAAAATTGCAGAAGCAAACTCCAATAATAAACTGACGACTTAATTAAAAAAACTAAAGAACGAGCATGTAGCATGATTATTTGAACTGCAATGTTGTTGTGGTGAAAATTGTCTGCACATAAATTGATGAAACCAAAGATGATGGCAATTGATTTGAACACTGATTTGCATTGCAAACTATTGTATATTTTTAGCAGGGTGATCCATTGTAAATGTCACCGAGTGCTCTAATATGTTTTAAAGCCAGAAAAGGGATCAGGCAATAATGAGAAAACAAATATAGAAAAAATACAGTAATTAATATATTACACAGTTAATTTACATAAGAAAAGAATCACCACCTTTGTCTTAAAATGGATGTTCTGACTCTCCCAAAGTCAAACAGTTAGTTGATTATTTAGTTTCTGGAAACAAGACTTTAAAAGTATAAGGCTCCGTTTGATTGGCGGAGTTTTCCAGGGAAGTAGGAAAATATTTTCCTACTTTCACTTTTTTGACTATTTGATACTCGAAATTTTCCACGGAAAATGTTTTCCTCCCTTTTTCTAGGTACAACCCTTTGATGCACAAATGGTGGAAAATGTTTTTTCACCTAATAGGTGGGAAAACATTTTCCACCATTTTTTTTTTTCTTTTGCAATGAGAACAAATTCTAGACACAATGGTAAAAAAAAAATTCACTTTTATCGACAACTTTCATGCAAAATAAAGTCAAACGAATGATAATCGGTATGGTAAATTTTTTTTGACAATGAGAACAAATTTAGACTCAATAGTAGAAAAAATTATCATTTTAATGAACAAATTTCATAAAAAACGAAGTCAAATGGACACCAAATTTTCAACATTTTCCATGGAAAATTATACAAATCAAACACAATTAATTACAATTCCTAGTAAAATATTTTCTAAGAAATCAATTTCCTGTAAAACATTTTCTTTCCACCCATTTTCCACCATTGCAATCAAACGGACCCTAATATCTCCTTGAAGTTACCATAATTCTAACTTATGCTAACTTCACTCATTAAATTAAAAATAATAATGAAATATTCAAGAAAAATCTGGTTGACTTTGAGAAAGTCAAGGAACTTTTCTACTTACTACTGATGGAATACATTGCAATATACCAGAAAGGCAAGGAAGTAATTACAGTATAATATTTGGGTAGGCGAACTCGTGATTTAAGATAGCTTTTCTGGTAAGATACCTTGATTGTGTTGAGGTTTGTTATGTCAAATTTTGCCTTCTTTAGGATTGCTCTCCGCATGTACTGGATTGCGAACTTAACCTAATATAACAAAAAAAGAACTGTTAAATAGACAAAGGCTAGGTCTAAAAAGAGTAAAAAACTTCTCAATAAAAGAGATCAAAACTCATATGTTACATTATAAGGTTAACACGGATATAGTATTTAAACATGAGAAACAGGTTTTACAAATTGATTAGCTTACAGTGAACTTGGGAAGTCGAACTTTGTAAGTATCCACCAGTTCCATCATCAAATCAACCAAATCTGAGAAGGGGCTGTCCAGAACCATTCCTGCGATGGAAGGATCCTCAGCTCCATACATCAGGCTGAAAGAAGTGCATTTTCAAGTTATTTACATGCAGTCATAAAAATAGTGGGCAAAGCTAAAGTCTACACCTAAGTCATATATGAAACCATAAATTATTAAAATATAGATAAGTATGCAAAATAAGATATACCTAGACAGATTGACAAGTTTTCTCTTTTTCTATTCTTCTTTATGAAGGCAGTATATAGAACACCAAGTGTATCGTCATGGTTATGGAACCCTTTTGTTTACAAGATATCACAACTCAAAAGATAATCTTCATGTGTATTAATATTATTATATATTCGAAATAGAAGCCTTGAATTGCATTAGTCAATGTCGCCACGAACAGTGACAAGATATAAAGAGCCATATAATGGTCCCAACTTGCTGACACTTGAAGTGACATTGCAACTGATGCTACATATGGGCCACTTCGTTACAAGAATGCGATATAAAATTACGACTCACAATTATAGTCCCGCATCAACAAACAGATATCAGACAAAACAAACCCCTGAGGGGTGAAGCAAAAATAACACAGAATTCAAATGTCTGCCGTTACTGTTTAAAAGTCGGTGTTGTCCTTGCTGATAAAATATAATAGTTATAATTACTTGACAGGAATGTCAAACAAAATAGGAAAACAACGAAACATGTGTTTTTAAAAGCATCAAGCAATTGGAGGTACCAATTGCAATCTTATTACTGGTTTATTGAAAAAGATTGAAATTAAATCTTTCAATATTTCTAGTCTTGGGATATGATGTCTATGGAAACAATAACCCCTGGAGTAAGGAGCTGTCAGGAGATGAAACAAACCTACTAACCTTGTAACAGCACCCATTGAGCGACCCCACAAACCAATCAAAGAAACATTCCCATCTGCCCGTAGATAATCAACCACTGCTCTTAGATCGTCCTTCTACAAAATTAGACCACGTTTCCTCACTAGAAAATAGATACTAACGGCCTGTCTGAGCCCCATTTTTCTGTAGAATGTATTTTTGAATAGTAGACTGATGAAGAATATGTGGTTAAAAAATAAGGAAAAGTTTTGGGTTTGTGTGTAATATTATTTGATTGAAGAATGTGTGGTTGAAAAGGAGAGAAAAATGTGTTTTGGAAAAAAATGGGGATCAAACAAGGGCCAAATAGCATTAAAGAGAAATGAAGATGAAGCTGGTAACAGGTAACAGATTGCAGAGACATAGCATATGATGGAAATCGGGCAAACAAAACAACAAAAACAAGTACAGAAAAATGTAAATTCTGACATTCTAGAAGACATCACAACAGGCAAATAACTAATAATGACATTTCAGCATAAATGGAATAATGTCAACAACTAATTTGGGTAATTCACAAAATTGCTTTACACCCCCTATGATATTCCTAATCCCGTGAAGATGCGTTGACATGAGCAAGCTCTTGGTAGTTTGAGACTCTGAGAAATATACTTCACTAGACAAAAAGTTTGCATGCTTCATTTTACGTATATTTGCTCAGAAGATTAAGGTTCCACCCTACATCTTGTGCGTGGGAGAGGCTCAGCTTATTACCTCGTTCCAGCCTAGAGTTACATGCTCTCCTCCAGAGAGTCCAGAACCAGAGAAATCAAGAGTGAAAACTGATATAGTTGAAGGCAACAATATAATTGCAGCTTCACTAGCATCTGCTCGGCAACCACTGACACATGATCAAGAAAAGAGATCATTAGTAAACAACAATTGATGTGACTGAAGGTGGCGGAATAGGAGAAAATGAGGTGTCACTTCAGTCCATACTATTTCAAGTGACCCACATCAGCCAATAAGGCTATGTTTGATAGCCTATATTTTCCATGAAAAATGGAAAAAAAATTCCATTTCCATGTTAAACACTTGTTTGATAGGCAAAATTTGGCATGGAAAATTTTTTCCGCGCCCCCCCACCCACGAGCCCCTTCTCTCTTTTCAAGGAATGGGAAAATGAATTCCAGCTTCTGGCAT